TCACCTGGGAGTATCCATGTCTAGGTAATATACCAATCACTCTCTCTCTCTCTCTCTCTCTCTCTCTCTCTCACACACACACACACACACACACACACTCTTACACACACCCAATCTCTGTCTCACACATACATGAGCACACACACTCACACAGACATGCACACATACTCCTCCAGTCCTTTTTCTCTTATGTGTTACCTTGTTTTCTTTTATCTTTCTCTCCTTTATGCTCATCCTACATCTCTTTTTCAAAAGACATTTCCTTTTCCCATTCTGATCTTTCATTTTCCTTGCATAGTACTGTCCCTGTTTTAACCACCTTGGTAAGGGAGGCTCTCAGCCAGTGGTGTGCTGAAGCTGGCTCTTAATGGCTCAGGACAGCTAATTGTGCATATATCTTCTCAACTCTACATTAAGTGTCATCATGTTGGTAGCTGAAAATCAGCTTAGTAGGAGTATTTACACAGTGGAAATAGGCTAACATTATAAATGTGTGTGCATCTGTGCTCAGTTGTGTCTGACTCTTTGAATCCCATGCACTAAAGCCTGCCAGGCTCCTCTGTCCATGAGATTTCCAAGGCAAGAATACTGGAGTGGGTTGCCGTTTCCTTCTCCAGGGAATCTTCCTGACCCAGGGATCGAGCTCATGTCTTCTGTGTCTCTTGCATTGTCAGGTATGTTCTTTACCACTGAGCCACCTACTATGAATAGTTTACTGGAAACCTAGTTGTTTGATAACATTTAGTTTATCAGCACACCACTGGCTTTAGCACTGTTTACACATTTGACTTTTTTCTGTCTGGGGATCACTGTAGGTATTAGGTAGCTTATCTGCCCATCTACTTCACCCTTTGGTTTTGTACATACCATCATTTTCTGGAACCCAAACTTTTACATTATCTGCTTAGATTCTTACTACATTGATTCATAGTGTTTGTGGTGTGTATGATTATTGCATTATTATTTTATCATTATAGTGTACATTGTGTGTATGATTATTATATTGTCATTATATAGTGTGTGTGGTGTGTATGATTATTACATTGATTCATAGTGTGTGTGGTGAATTTTACTTCTTTGACATTCAGAGGACAACTTTATTTTTCAATTATGAATGAACTGAAATTACTTTTTATTTTTCTTAAAGAGATCTATTTTTAGGATTGTGAAGGTATGTTAATTGATATCTTTCCTGAATGCATTTCTCCACTGTGACAGCTAGATATTATGGTCAGAACTCCCTTCAGCTCATTTTGCATTACTTTTTGTCCTGTTTTTGCATGTTTCCTTCTCTCTTATGCCACCTTTATGCCATTTATTTCATAGTTTCTAAATTATTCCTTGGACCTCTACCTGTTTTAACCTCAAGTGTCTTAAAGAATCTCCCAGACTCTGCTTCTTATGGGAATATTATTATTATTTTCCTTCCTGAAGCATATCCATGGTCTTGCCTGCATTGGACAACTCCCATATGATGCTAATTGGAGTACTAGATCTTCTCAATATTTTTATTACCACATTCACAGATAATTTCTTGTGTTATTCACAGAGATGGAAAGCCATATTCATTGTCTGTCAGATTTACTAATTTAGAACTCTCAGAGGATACCCACATTTTCAAGATTTGAGGTCCAGGTGACCCACAAATTGTATTCTCTGTGTACTTATTTTTTTCTTTTTTCATTTTGATGTACTACACAGATTGTGGGATCTTATGTTCTTTCCAGGGATTGAACTTGGGCCTTGGCAATGAAGGTGCTGAGTCCTAATCATTGGAAATTCCCATCCTCCATGTACTTGTATTTGTTATTGTTGCTTAGTCGCTATGTCATGTCCGACTCTTTGTGACCTCATGGACCCGCCAGGCTCCTCTATTCATGGGATTTCCCAGGCAAGACTCCTGGAGTGGGTTGCCATTTCTGTCTCCAGAGGATCTTCCCAACCCAGGGATTGAACCTACATCTCCTAAATTGGCAGGCAGATTCTTTACCAATGAGCCCTCGGGAAGCCTAATATACTTATGTTAGTCCTCCAAATTTTGTTTCTCAAAAAAAACACAAATGGCTTCTTGATAACATACTCTATGCCTTATTCAATTAAAGTAGATGATAAAATGGTTTCATATTCTTGTTTGTTCACCTGTTACCTTAGTCCTACCTTTCCTCCAGTTGTAACTCCATAATAGAACTTTTTCGCAGGTATTTACCCAACTACAAGAGTGATTGAAGCTGATGATTTATGCCTGCATCTTTCCAACATTGTCAGTCTGACCTCCGTTTTTCCTAGCCAATGCTTTTCTCTCTAGAGTTAAACAGGTTATTTTGGCAAATTTGATTAAGTCTAATTGTTTTCCATTATGACTGCACCTTTCCAACATTGTCAGTTTGACCCCCACTTTCCCTAGCCAATGCTTTTTCCCTAGAGTTAAACAGATTATTTTGGCAAATTTGATTAAGTATAACTGTTTTCCAAGATTTCTGCAAAATACAAGTGCCAAAATCTCAGATGACTGTTTTGGTTATGAAGTTGTCTATGTGATTCCCTTTTCCAACCCTGATGCTACCCTATATTTTCATCATACAGAACTGACTAATTTCTTTCTTTACATTTGCTGATTTTCAGTATCTGTAGCCTCAGGTCTATGTTGGCTTCAGAAGTTATGAGACTCTTTCTTAAGCATACACTTTTGTCAGATTCCCAATAGAAAACTTTACATTAGGTTGTTCCTGTCATTTGCAACCTGACAAGGTCAATAGTGTTGCTCAGGAACCCAATTTATTTTTTGTTAGATTATATAGTTTGTAGTTAAAAATGATGAGACCATTGGGAATTTGAACCATGATGGATTATTAAATAATTGTTTCCCACATTTACTTGTGATTATGCTACTGTGGTTATGTTTTAAAAGCATTATTACACTTTAGTGAAAAGCATTATTATCCTTTAGCAGGCTTCCCTTGTGGCTCAGTAGTAAAGACTCTGCCTGCAGTGCAGGAGACCTGGGTTTTATCAGAAAGTTGGAAAGTTCCCCTGGAGCAGAGCATGGCAACCCACTCCAGTATTCTTGGAGGACTAGGACTGAGAGTCTTAGTTCCTTACTGCCTGTTGGCTGTAAGATACTCTCAGTTCTTTGCCATACGGGTCTCTCCAATATAGCAGCTTGTTTCATCAAAGCCACTAAAGGAGTAGAGGACAGGGAGAGAGTCTCCTAGTAAGATAGAAGTCATAATCTTCTGTAACACAATTACAGAAATGACATCACATCACTTTTGCTGTATTCTATTGATTAGAAGTAAGACTTAGTGGTTTTGCCCACATTCAATAGGAGAAACAATAATCATGGGGGCTCCCCTGGTGGCTCAGACAGTAAAGAATCTTCCTGTAATGCAGGAGACCTTGGTTCAATACCTGGGTCGGGAAGATTCCCAGGAAGAGGGCATGGCAACCCACTCCAGTATTCTTAGCTGGAGAATCCCATGGACAGAGGATCCTGGTGGGCTACAGTCCATAGGGTTGCAAAGAGTCGGACATGACTGAAATGACTTAACATGCATGTGTGCATGAATACTGTATCTCTGGGTAACTTGAAATCTATGTATCTTTCTGTCAATGAGAATTCTCTATGTAGCTCTATTGCATTTATAAGCTCACTGAAGAGTGCTCTGGATCTGGATCTATTCCTTTTCTGCACAAGTAATCCATATGCCTTAAGACAAATGTAGTTGAGTACAAGGGAAAAAAAATCACCCAATATCCCACAAAAGATAACAACTGTTAACTTTTTAGTGTATATACATTCAATTTTAATTTTTATATAGTAAACCTAAAGGTCTTTTAAATTTTCTGCTGCTTTGCATTTTAATTCTTCTTTCACTGAATTCAGATATTCATCTTTATGTTCTTCTGATTATTATGGTTCCTACTAAAGAACTGAGATCATAATAAGTATATACACACTAGTAGCCTTTTAGACATTAATGTGTATCTGAATCACCAGGGAAGTTTGCTAAAAACAGAAGTTCCAGAGCTCTATTCGGTAGATTTGGAAGGGTACATTTTTAAGAAACTCCTCAGGTGATTCTCACACAGGTGGCTGATGATCATAGTTTTAGAAACACTAGGACGTTATTAAATGAATCCAGTGTTCCTTTAGGAATTGCAAATAATCTCTTCTAGAGAATTGAAGTTATGTATCCAAGATTATTTTATTCAGGGAAGGAATGAGACAAAAACTCAGGGCTCTTGATGCAATCATTATTAATTGTATTTTGCCAGGTGCCTACCTTATGTCAGGCAGAATCACAAACTGACTAGCAGAAAGTGCAGCCCTGAGGGGGAGGAAGGATGCTGGACTGGGGAGATCTATCTTTGGGGACTCTGCTAAATATTTGAAGGGAAAATCTGAGGGTAGGGAGTTCTTGCTTAATATGTGGAGATGGGGACAAAAATAGGTAAACACACACACCAGACCTTGTTTCACAGTCATATGAAGCAAATATATTTCCTAATTTGTAAAGAATTCCTGGGTTTATTCGTCAGGCTTAAAGATTCAAATTTCATAGCCAAGTCTTTATTAAGTGACTCTATGGCTCTCATAAAGTCATTAAAAATAGTTCCACATCTTCTCAAACTACAGAAATTATAAAAGGCATCAACTCATCTCACAGAAATGAGTCCCTGTATTAATCTTTTAGTATATTAATTTCAACATTTTTCTCTTTATGAATTAGATAAGTATTAAATTTGAAATAAAAAAGAATACAGACAGAGATTGCTTTTTTAAACTGCTTTACTTACTTCACAATATATAATAAGCATCTTGCCATGCAACAGGTGAAATTATCTGTTAACAAATCTTACAGACTGGGTCAAAACATTCAACTAGAAGCTGGTAATATGAGACCCACCAGAAATGAGTGGCATCAAAAGTTTTATGGCAAAGGTACACAATGAACATGTAAGTTTAGGAAGCAAGTGTGTCTCCCTATTAACATCAGGATTTAAGGCATAAGGCAAAACTCATCATGATGTTCATGGTGAGGGGGGTCAGTGCTAACTGCCCGCGAACTATGACTCAACTGCTTTTCCCTCAGCTTTTGCATGAGTTGTCTCATCCCTTCCCCAATCCTTTCTATATCCTCTTCTCTCATCCTCGCCTGTGGCTTTCCAAGCCTCTGAGTCAAGTCCCATCTATAATGTAGAATGGGCTGCCTAGCACGGAACCGTCTGTGATTTCCTCTAGGTACACAATATTCACCAGCTCCCAAAGAGAGGGCCAAAGGCTCTCCTTTATTAGCATCTTGCTCTTTTTCATCCTTTTTTTCATTTTCTTCGTTGGCATTTTCCACAGTGATATTTTTCAGCACTTGTTTCTCTTTGGGCATCATTGCTCCTAGGAGACAAAAGACAAGAAAAGCGACTGCATTTTTGGTGGATAGATCAGCACCGAGGACAGAGGCCTTACTATGGATATTCAGAGGTCTAGATATCATGGTTTTCTTTTTTCTTTCTTTCTTTCAATTTTCACACCTGAAAGGCTTCGTGCGTCCTCTAGGGGCCCCCAGTTCGAGCCCTCCCCGTTCCTTCTCAGTTCTTTCCCCTCCATCCTCCCAAACCCACCATGTTCCCTACAGATCCACTCCCCAGGCCACTTCAAAGATCAAAATGGAGGTCGGGGCATGGAGAAGTTGAGAATGGGTATGATGGGGTTCTACACCCCCCCCCCCCGCTACGCACACTGTCCCCTGCACCAACCTGGGCCTATCCTTGCTGTCTCCTCCTCCTCCCGATTCCTGCTGCAAAGTGAGTTGCTGCAACACTTGACACGTAGACCCGCAGACCTAAGTGGATGGAGGGAGGGAGTACTGTCACCAAGCTCTTGGTGCCGAACCACCGCTCCTCCCCCGCCCCTGCCGCCCCCGCAACCAGCGTCCCCTGCTCCACGGCCAGGTGCCCCATCCCCACCCCACTCCCGGGTTCACCATTGTCTTCCAGAAATTCAGGGATGATTTCCCATCGCTCTTAGTTGCTCTGCAGCCCTCCCTGGAACCCTGCCCCACCCCTCAACACGGCCACCCCAGGGGGCCCCTATTTCGGTTCCCAGGAAGGCCGGGGTGTGGAAAGAACTCGCCGGGACTCTCCGCGCTGAACCCCTGCACAGGCCTCTAGGGTTGGTTGGCCACTGCCTCCCTGGCATCAGCGCGTGAGCCCCTGGGCCTTTACCTGCTCCGCTTGCTGCGGCCCGATGCTAGCCCGCTGAGCTCAGGGCAGCGGGGAGCTGATAACTAGACAGGAGTGACACCTGCACCTAAGGCTGCATCGCTCTGCAGCTTGTGGTCACGTGAGGGCCCCGCCTCACGGCCGAGCTCGCCTTCTGATCCCCCCTCCCCCAACCCCCAATAGGACCCGTCCCTTCACCTCTGCACGCAAGAACCTCCCAGTCCACACAGCTGTGTGCTAGGCCCAGAACTCAGCTCAGTCGTCTCCAATATGATACCCATAGGTGGCCTTGCTGCCCTATCTTTGGGGTTTGACCTTCTCTAGGTACCATGGAGTGTCTACATCTCCCAACCACTCCAAGCCTTGGTATTAACTTTGGCCTTTTCTGCTTCTTTTTTCTCCTGTTCTCCCTAGCTATATATTGGCTTCCTATTAATTTCTCTTTATTTCCTTTTTATTTTTATTTTTTTCTATTTATTTTTATTAGTTTTTAAAAATCAGTATGTCTCAAAAAAACCCTGAAAATTAGGAAATTTCATTTTTGAAAGACATGTTTCAGGCTGGGGAAGTAAAAGAGAAAAAAAAAACCCTCAATATTTATGTTTTCTTGCACCTCACAGAAAATATTTTCTGTGGACTCCACGCAGCTTCATTTTTAGAACTTTTTAAAGTGTTTCATGGAATAAAAAAAAATGGGGGAATCTTTCTAAACAAACACAGTTGGTGTTTTGAAAATGATCTGTGAAGTTAACCTTCAAGAAGTCTGATTGCCAAATCTTGGCTATTTTATGTAAGTGATCTACCTTTTTTCCCCTTCTGAGACAGATTTCAAGTCGTATTATTAAACATTTATATTTTATTCTACTACAATAAACATTCATTAAATATGAAAAGCATTTGCTGGCAATTGAGGTCATCTGCTGAAATTTAACAGCTATTATTAAAGATGGTTTTGAAGACCTAAGCAAAGGGAAGGCCCTTGAGGCAGAAGCAGGTTGAGGGATACAGAGATAATGGCCTCACCCCATCCTGTCAAGAGATTGGGAAGGGACTGGTCTTCCTGCCGTCACATTCCAGAGTCTCTTATTTCCTAAATTCAGGCTCCTGGCTGTTGCTTACTCCAAAAATAGATGGACAGGTGGCCAGGGTCTTGACCTGAGTAAATTCCTTTGGTTTCTTCCCTCCTTTTTCCCCCCAAATCCAACCTAGAAACATACCTCCCAGATAGATGAGGCAAACTAGATGGGACTCTTCTACACCTCTGTGGTGGGGGATTCCAAGAATTGCAGAAAAGTAAGTGCTATGGAGAGAACCACTGTAAATTTCCCCAAATATGAAATCTGCATATTTTCATAAACCATATACTATGTGTTCTTTGGGGGCTCTCTTCTTCATTTAGCATTATGTTTTCAAAGCTCATGGCAACATATGATTAATCATTTGAGGAACTGCCAAATTGTTTTTCAAAGTGGTTGACCATTTTACATTCCTACCAACACTGTATGAGAGTTCTGAATTTGCCACATCCTCACCATATATTGTCAGCTAAAACTTTGTATCTACTCATATTAGTGGGCATGAATTGTCAACTGAAAAATTTTTACAATGTGAAAGCTGTGAGTTCAGTTTTATTTGAGGACTTATTGAGGACCATAGCTGGGAGACAGCCCCTCAGCTAGCTCTGGGGAATTGCTTTGAAGGTGTGAGAGGTCAGTATATTTATGATTTTCATGGAGGTATGTGCAATTAAGCACACATCTCAGTAGAAAGTTGTTGCCACTCACAAGGACCAGATATCTCTGATAATGATATTAAATGTTTGCTAGGTATGTGAAGATGCAAAAAATCAGGTTCATAAAATTGTCTCCCCAAAATATTTAATTATCTGAAGGATATGAAGGCCTATTCTGCCAATTTTCCCAGAGCAGAGAGTATCTTATTCCTGAGCTCTTTGCAGGATGTGTTCAAGGTCAGTGACTGCAGTAGCTAAGTGACTTCATTCTTATAGAACTAGATTGGTGAGTGGCATATTTTTGTTGTCAGTGTCCCTACCCTTTCTCCTCTTTCCACTCCATGGTAATAAATTTGGCCATGTTTTGGGAAGCATTTCATGACTATTTTATCCCACAGAGCTAGGAATACTCATTCCTAGGTCAGGCAAAGATTTCATCGATAGGTCACTCAATGTGCTATTACTGGACTAGGCACTATTAACAGTAGCCCAAATCTTTGGGTCATCTGACTTACTAGTCTTTGATGGTCTAGGAAATGATTCCCTCTTATTTCTTCTTCTCATAGCTAGTGTTACACTATTAAAATCAATTGATCTTATAGAACTACATATTTGGCCAATTGTTTCAAGTCACCTTTTTTTTGCAGCCAACGATGGAGAGCCTCTATACAGTCAGCAAAAACAAGACTGGGAGCTGACTGTGGCTCAGGTCATGAACTCCTTATTGCCAAATTCAGACTTAATTGAAGAAAGTAGGGAAAACCACTAGACCATTCAGGTATGATTAGAAATTGATTTAAGGGACTAGAGCTGATAGAGCGCCTGATGAACTATGGACAGAGGTTCATGACATTGTACAGGAGACAGGGATCAAGACCATCCCCAAGAAAAAGAAATGCAAAAAAGTAAAATGGCTGTCTGAGGAGGCATTACAAATAGCTGTGAAAGAAGAGAAGTGAAAAGCAAAGGAGAAAAGGAAAGGTATACCCATTTGAATGCAGAGTTCCAAAGAATAGCAAGGAGAGATATGAAAGCCTTCCTCAGTGATCAGAGCAAAGAAATAGAGGAAAACAATAGAATGGGAAAGACTAGAGATCTCTTCAAGAAAATTAGAGATACCAAGGGAGCATTTCATGCAAAGATGGGATCAGTAATGGACAGAAATGATATGGACCTAACAGAAGCAGAAGATATTAAGAGGTGGCAAGAATACACAGAAGAACTGTACAAAAAAGATCTTCATGACCCAGATAAAAATGATGACGTGATCACTCACCTAGAGCCAGACATCATGGAATGTAAAGTCAAGTGGGCCTTAGGAAGAATCACTGTGAACAAAGCTAGTGGAGGTGATGGAATTCCAGTTGAGCTATTTCAAATCCTGAAAGATGATACTGTGAAAGTGTTGGGCGCAATATGCCAGCAAATATGGAAAACTCAGCAGTGGCCACAGGACTGGAAAAGGTCAGTGTTCATTCCAATCCCAAAGAAAGGCAATGCCAAATAACGTTCAAACTACTGCACAATTGCACTCATGTTACATGCTAGTAAAGTAATGCTCAAAATTCTTGAAGCCATGTACTTCCAGATGCTCAAGCTGGTTTTAGAAAAGGCAGGGAAACCAGATATCAAATTGCCAACATCCACTGGATCATTGAAAAAGCAAGAGAGTTCCAGAAAAACATCTATTTCTGCTTTATTGACTATACCAAAACCTTTGACTATGTGGATCACAATAAACTGTGAAAAATTCTGAAAGAGATGGGAATACCAGACCACCTGACCTGCCACTTGAGAAACCTCTTGAGAAACTATATGCAGGTCAGGAAGCAACAGTTAGAACTGGACATGGAACAACAGACTGGTTCCAAATAGGAAAAGGAGTACATCAAGGTTGTATATTGTCACCCTGCTTATTTAACTTATATGCAGAGTACATCATGAGAAACACTGGGCTGGAGGAAGCACAAGCTGGAATCAAGATTGTCGGGAGAAATATCAATAACCTCAGATATGCAGAGGACCCCACCCTTAAGGCAGAAAGTGAAGAAGAACCAAAGAGCCTCTTGATGAAAGTGAAAGAGGAGAGTGAAGAAGTTGGCTTAAAACTCAACATTCAGAAAACTAAGATTATGGCATCTTGTCCCATCACTTCATGGCAAATAGATGAGGAAACAGTGGAAACAGTGGCAGACTATTTTGGGGGGCTCTAAAGCCATTGCAGATGGTTACTGAAGCCATGAAATTAAAAGACACTTACTCCTTGGAAGGAAAGTTATGACCAACCTAGACAGCATATTAAAAAGTAGAGACATAACTTTGCCAACAAAGGTCCATCTAGTCAAGGCTGTAGTTTTTCCAGTAGTCATGTATGGATGTGAGAGTTGGACTATAAAGAAAGCTGAGTGCTAAAGAACTGGCACTTTTGAACTGTGA